TTTTAAAGAAAAACTTACACCAACAAATTCATTTAAATCAAGACGTTTGAAATGGTTAGATATTTCTCTCCTCTTGAGACGACCTAGAATACCTGCATAATATAATTATAGAGGACATCATAATTGAAAAAAAAGAAGCGCAAGGTGACCGCCATATCTCTTAGGAATCGGGGTACATTAAAAACGATAAAAGAGTCAAAGTTATAACAAAACTAAATAATTATGCAAGAGAATGGCGAATCTATGGTTTAAAACAAAAAATTAACTCTATAATATGCATTATGCGTCCTATTATATTTATTATACAAATAATGCTGATAAACAATATCTTTTTTGGCTGCCCACTCAGTTTAAAAAAAAAATACCCTTGTAGTTATTATTGATAAACTCCGTTATTTAGTTTAAACAATCAAAAAAACCGTTTAAAACGCGTTTGTTGGTTACATATTTGATAGGTATTAAGGGGCGGTCCAATATCGAAATTTGATATTTTTTGTGGTCATTTTCAAATCACATCCAATACGCGCGTTCTGGGAAAATGTCGAATGCACAAATCACTTTATCATTTAACTCTATAATATACGGTCAAATCCAATCATCCGAAACGAATTCTGGTTGAATGGAAAACGACATAACGGATATTGTTTGAAAATTATTAATAATATAGGTAGGTAGGTATATACAGTACGATAAATATTAGATAAATTACAATAATATTACGACGAGTAAAAATATTTTGGTACATTATTACACTTACACTATCATTTTTTATACGAAATTTTTGAAATCTTGTTTTTAAATGAGAGACAAAGCATGATATAAGTACAAACGTTAATTCCATATGGGAATAATTTGTTTGCGATTTAACTGTAGCATTATTAAATTTGTACATACCTAACCATATAGGTAGTAACTCAAATTTGTCAACAACTAAAATTTACTTGGTACTATGGATTGGTTGTCTTAACGTTGATTTTTAAAATATTATTTTTTAGAAAATTTGTATGCATCCTTTAGGATTTAAACCAGGAAAGTTATATGTTTTTTTTTAAATATTTTTCATTGGATAAAATTGTTTCTAGTGTATATTATAGGTGTAAAAAGAAAATGAGGGAATAACAGAATTTAACGTAATCCTCCTCCTCCTTTCAATCGAAAAAACGCATTCCTAACCAATGGATTCCATATGTTCAGAAAACGTTTAGAATGCGGACTTTTGAAAATATCCTGGTGCATGACTTTGACCGTTTTGAGAAAAAAAAACAACAAATAACAATTGATGTTGTTTGTATATTTGTATTATAAGATGAAAACATGAATAAGCTTAGGTATATACGTATTATTGATTAAAGCTAAATTGTGTGTATTCAATTTAAAAATACGAATTGACAATAATATTTTGTTAGTTATATTTTTGCCTCCAAATTTGACGTAGGAATTTAACTAGGACATATACAAAGCCTGTGATATGCTATTTTATTTTGTGTGCTGCGGACGTTTAACGAGTGTAATATCATCGGTTATACAGATCAAGATGAAAGGACTGCAGAAGTCTAATACTTTAACTATGATGTTCGCTAAATAATCGAATCTGCGTCCAAAATTGTATTATTGCGTTTGAATAATTATTATTTGCTTACATTGTGTTATTTGTTTAATCCCAATTTATTTGCTTGAACTGAACATGATGACGATAATCGTGTTACACGGTGTTCCTATAGACGTTTTCTTTATCAAATTCCGGAACAAATAACAACGAAACATTCAACTGAAACAAGTTTAATATGTTTTGTTTGAATTATTATTGTTTTTTTCATTACGATAAAATAACATTATTCATAATTTAATAATATTTTATTGAATTCAAAATTATACTTAGTGCGGAAATAGAACTTTTTTCTTTTAATATTTGATTTAATATATCTGCAATCATTGGAAAAAATTCAAAACTAAATCATAAATACCACATTACATAATTTTAATATAATTTGAATTTCAAAGTCTTAAGAACATAATGGAAATGAAGCATTTTTATTATGAAACTGCATTTTCCCGTTTTAAGGCTATCCTTCGTTATTGCAATAACCAATACCACCCAGTAAAATTATAAATGTATATGAACACAATAATGGTCATATGATTTATCAAATTAAAAAATCATATCTACTATGTACTGCAAGTAAAAGAGAAATGAGTGGTGGTATGTGTTGAATCCACACTACTTGTCACATTTATTTATCTGCATTATATCATCTATCGGAATAAAAATTACTAGAACTGTTAAATAGTTAATATTTATGATATTTCTAAACACCCATCCTGTGTGGATTGAAATTATGCCCAACCAACACATTAAATAGTAATTCAGTCTCCGGCAATTTTCTGGTAGATATTTCAAATACCCCGGTTCGACGATAAAATTATTGTTCGTTGAAAATTAATTACTATCGGTCAACTAAATCTTGTATTTTACACTTGTTTAATCATTTTATAAAAGAATCAAAGACGTAATTTTAAAAAACTCGTTTAGATTCCATAACTTTATGCTCGTTGTTTACAAATTTATATTTCACGGTCACAAAGAACGAAATTAACGCGATAATTGAATTCGTAATATGGTAGAAATACAATTTGTCTTGTCTCTTGTATTGTGTTTTTAGTAACCTGGGAAATATTTAAAGTGAAATTTTTAATTACTTAATTTTCATAATGAATTGCACGGTGATACCTGGTTAAAAGAAGCTTAAAACAAGATATTATCTCTATTATTTAAAACGAGTCGGTTTGTATTGTTATAGATTGCCTTTTGGTCCGGAAAAAAGAATTTCCTCCGTTTAATATCGAATTTATTACTCTCACGAATGATACTATAGTGTATATTAGTGTATAATATTATGATATTAATAAAAACATTTGGCTTCCGGAAAGGTTTTAAGTGTGCTACATTGCTATACACTGTTATATTGCACTATTTAATAATTATAAGTTTATAAATTACAAATGCATCGAGGCCACTAGGTATTAAATATAATTGGTAACGATAATGTGCATTTTAAAAATTGTTTTTGTACTTTACGGTAAAACTGCACCGAATGTATTATGACCAACTAATTGTATTTTATTCAATGTACTTAAATTATCGACACAAAAGTATTTTACAAAGAAATTACTTTTCAATACTAGATATGATGTTTTTTTTTCAGCGTTTATCTACGAACATTTTGAGTAAAATTAATTTTGGTTTAAATATTTAGATTAATTAAGTCGTAATAAAATCATCTGAGTTAACTTCATCATTTCGTAGATTATAAACGCATACCAATTATACATTTTTATATAATAACAAGCCCTTCCTCCCATCTTCTCATTATATTCACCGAGCATTCGAAAAAATATTATATTTCTAAACATTGAAATAACACTGATTTCAAATTTACCGTCGAAACGGGTTTTCATCTAAAATGGATAAAAAAAATTGATTATCGTTCTTTTCTCCTCGGGTTTACATTATAAACTAAATAAATCATAAATGGTATACCATATTGGTATTTATTTATTTGCAATAACAGGCTTGCGCCTACAAAATCGAAAAATGTGCAACAAATTACAAGTTCAGCATAAAATATACAATTGGTTCGAAGAAAAGAAAATGTTGGTGTTATTGTTGTACGCTATATCAAATTATATATATATATATATATATATAAAAAAAGAGAGTATTCCTTTTTCTTTTGTTTAAAGAAAGGGAGTAAATGTACTGTTATTTGAAAATCAAAATCTAATACTTATTTAATGTAGAACGAAGGTGGATCATCATTATAGAATAAAATATCACTCAGTGTAATATGTCCACATTGCACCGAATTCTTTTTATATACAGTATTATTTTTGCATGTACAAAACTTCTAATGAAGATTTACTGCTTTAAAGCGACGGACAGAATCGCACTTTTAAAATGCCATAGTAAATCATCGCACGGGACACGTCGTATATTTTGAAAAAAATATCTTTTCAAAACATTTTGTTTTCCATCGACGATATTTTCTCGTTAATTTCGTAGATAAGAACTAATATTATGTTGACTTTGTTGTGTTTTCGTAAGTGTATATCTAATTAGAAGTGCGTACACGAAATGGGTGTCAAATCATCCTAATGCCTATTTTTTTTGATATTTATTACAGCATTTTTTTTTATACACATTTAAAATACTAGGTACCTAACAAGAAAATATTTTGCCATTAATTTCCCACTAACTCTTAAAAAAGTTATGTACATGTCACTATAGTAATCAAGCCACGTTAATTTTTACCGCAGTGTAATTCACCAATGGCTGATTGTTTTTCATTAATTTTTTTGTGTGAACACCAGGGATTTTTTTTTTAACACTCAAAATACATATACAAACAGTGTATACAGCATGTATATTGTATAATATTATTTAAATCGACACGTATCGAGTTTATTTTCGTTATGGGTTTATTTTCCATTAATATATAGTATAAATGAAAATGTTTTGTTTTTTTGTTCTCAGGTCAATGGGAAATGGGGCTTGCCCCCGTTCGTATGTGACTTTTACATAGCGATGGACGTAATTTGTAGTACTTCGTCAATATTCAATTTGGTGGCGATCAGTATAGACAGGTAATTATTTACGTTTATTAATATCGAACGCACAATATTCGTGGGTATCCTATAGATAATATACAAGGTACGAATATTATTATACGCCTAATGGCGAAATTTAGGTTAAACCTACCTACTTGTATATTATTGTTATTATATAGGTCGTAATAATACATCTGCGAATTAATAATATTCTTCATTTACAATGAATATATTATTATATTATATTCCCATTTAATACAACAAGACGCGATATCTATAATAATATTATAGATATTATTATTATTATTATTACCAGCTTTAGATACTTGATTATACGAGCAACCTATACTTGGATAAAACACAAATGCACAATACTACATTGTGTATGTATGTATAGGCATTGTGTGTGTTATAGATACGACCAGCTAGATTGGGTTACAATGCGCCTTTATTATATTAGAAATCGTGTGGAAATCGTCATAATATAACTCGCGTAATTGAAACTTGGACAAATTGAAGAAAACGGATTCTGGTATAGTTGGTTCCTCAATGCCAGTAATGGTTATTTTGGTAACTATAGTATATTCGATTTGTGTGTTGATCTTGTAATTTTATATCCGTATGCCAGGTATTCATGTACAACTGTACAGATGTGAGTTTAATAAATTTTACGGGTAAACTTTAATAATTTAGATATATTTACCGGAGTTTTTTTTACCATTCTTGTAACTTCTCATTTTAAAAGATTTTTACACGTCTAATAATAACTGGTTAGATCATTTTTTTTTCAACACACAATACATATTATATTGTATCAAAAGAATTTCTTGAAAATTGCAGTTCTATCGTTACGTCGTTTATCCTGCAAGAGACGTTGGTTTTTTAATTCCATTAAATTCATGTAGCTATAATAAGTTTCTAACTTAAAATATTAAAATTTGAAACTTTAATATTAGGCATGATATAAGATTGGAAACAGTACTTATTGTTCTTATGAATAGTTTTTTTTCAAAGACTAGAAACTTATTTAGTTATTTTATTAAAAAAAAAAAAAACATAAACAAAAATTAATCAATCGATAGTCATTACTTCATGAAGTTCATTCTATATTTATATTTCATATTTTTTTCCTACTCATATTATATAATTTTTATAAATTTATTTTATTTTCAACGAAATAATATTTACTCCATTTACTGAAATTTACTTAAATTTTACCAGTAAATGCTATATTTATAGCTATAACATCTTGGCTCTTATTATATAAAGTGATTTCTTTTTATCACGATTCACCGATTTCCTGAAGGTTTTAAGTACGTTTGATTTATATTTTATTAATATGTTTACTTTTCTTATGTTTTTAGGCATTAAATATAAAATTATAACATTATAACCGTAATACTTATTTGCCTAAGCCAAATTATTTATTCATACACCAAGAATATAAAATTAAGCATTTCGTGAAATATTTTATTATAACATTAATCAGAGATTTACTACATAAGATGGGTTTATCGAGTGGTTTCATTAAGATGGGACCGATGGCATAATAACATTTCCCCGAACTTACGGGTGAAATAAACAGTGTAAAATCAAACTTACCTACAACCCCTGCAGCGGTTCTCAAACTGCTCCGCGAGCTTCACGAGAATAATATTGTAGTTCTGCTCAATTAATATTAATGAATTTAATTAATTCATTTTGTTTTCTTTACTGACCACACCATTGATTTACAAACAAAAGTGATTGTTTAGTTTTATTTAGTGGCAGAAATTTGAACAAAATTAAATGAAAAAAATGCCTTAATTCAATGAAAAATTACTATAGTTTTTAAAGCAGACAACAATATATGAACCAAAAAAAAATAAAAAACCCGAATTTTGCTAGAGTTTGTGAAATTGATAGTATATTTATGTTAAACGATATGCAAAATCAACTAATAGACATAATGAAGAATAAGATTAAATATACAATGAAATTAGCAATCCTGGTTTTTGGTGATCCATGGATTTTTGATCAACAACATAAGGTATCCCCGAATAAAAAGATTTGACGACCGCAGGGCTATATTATATAGTAAATTAGTTAAAACGCCGAACATAAATTTATGTCACAAATATTAAAGGATGAATACTTTTTTTTAAATATTTTGAAAATATAGAAATAAAATATCGATTATAAATACTTTAACGTTAGCAAACCGAAAATAAAATGTATTTAAAACATTCGTATGGCAAAAAATAATTACGTATTCATTAAATATTGTTTATTGTAATTGTACCTATTTTTCGGTTTCTTCTGGTGTTTTCTATTTTCTAGAAAAACTTCTGAGAATATTTTCTTTCAGAAAATGCAATATACTTGATAATCAGAGTAAGCTTTCTGGTAAAAAAATTTGTTCACATAAAAAAAAAAATAAACATCATTCTAAAACCAATAAATTTCTCCCTCCGATCAGAATCTAAAATTAACATACCTACAATAAAAATAAAATAATTGTATAGAATAGATATTTATTGACAAAAAAATGTGGTTTTTTTTATAGAAGTTGTCACGTATACTTTAGTTATACGTTATATTATTATTTTTTATCGTCTACAACTAAATAATAATGTTTGTATTTTGATCTGTAAAACTACGGCTTGAATGACAATACTGTTAACAAATGATTTTTTAACATTATTTTGTACTATGTAGATTTTTCCGTCGGAAAAATTTGAATAAAGATATACGGAATGGTCAATTTATCAAAATACACTCATTATCTCGGAAAATATTTATTTTTTCCAAATTTTTTTTCTAGAATATTCAAGAAACAAGCCGCTCTATAATTTTCTATTTACGTTATTTTTTGTTACCCTTATTTTTAGGGGTAAAACCACTACCTAAATTTAATTTTTAAATGGCAACCTATATGAGAAATTTCATAAAAAATTTGAGTATTATTTAAAATAAATTTTAGTGCTGAAATTTTTGACTTCTGCCAATCCATTTACGAGATATTCCACCTTTAAGTTAGGGTTGGAGGAGAGTAATGGAGTATCATTTGTGTGGTGGCACGGCGTGCGGCGTGTTAATAATGCACCACCACTCTCCTTCAACCCAAACTTAAAAGTAGAATATCTCGTAAATGGATTGACGGAAGTCAAAAATTTCAACATTAAAATTTATCTTAAATAATATTCTAACTATTTATGGAATTTTTCATATAGGTTTCCATTTGAATATTAAATGTAGGTAGTGGTTTTACCAAAAATATAAGGGTAACAAATAATAACATAAATATAAAATTCTAGATCATCTTATGTCTTAATTAATCTAGAAAATAAATTCCGGAAATAGTAAATATTTTTCGAGTGTCTTACGATAGATTAATCACGGTGTATACATACATTTTTTATTCATTGTAAAAAGCATACACTTCATTACCTACCTCTTAAACTCCTTTAAACCAACTGGTGAAGTGGGCGAGCTAAGATATTATGGTTGAATAATTTTGTCGGAGAGGAAACAGGAAAAAAAAAAACCGAAAAACGAAATAAGATAAAATTCAGTTTTTACAGTATCATTTATTTACATACGTTTTATAAATTTGTTAATATAAATTGTGTTAATATTTATTTATACGCAAAACCGATACTTTCTCACGTAGAAAAGTTGAATAAGAATATGTAAATATTAGTTGGTTATTAACACCTATATGATTTTTATCGAAAACGTATCTAATGTATTTTAGATTTCTATATTTAATTAGTCGACTTTGCAAATTAATATTAATCCTCGATGATTAATTAAATTGATCGTCCATCAATAATATTGCATGAATCAATCTAAGCGTATCTACTAGTAAACGATGAGTTAGTATCAATATTTTGATGTCAACCCATTTGGGTTCTAGGCCAAAAGATCTTCTACACAATATATAATAAATATATTTTGTATTTTCTTTGTATTTTTAATTTTTGGTATTTTTTTATTTGTTGTATATTATAACTTCTGAGTGAAGCGAGGAACGTACTATTGGTTTTATCACGACATGTGTATTTTTTATATTTTGTGTATCGGTTAACAACTTTTCTATCAGATAAAAAACTTTACAAGAACTCTTTAGTAGAATTTTTGATCTAGTTTGTGCATTGGAGATGTCATTTTTTGATTTTCCATGTATAGTGTTTTTAATAAATCGGAAAAACTGTCAATTTATCTCGTTATAAAAATTGTATTAAATAATTGATTTGTCATGTTTGGATTTGTAATATCTAAAAAAAACCGAACGAAGGTATAAAAAATATAAAAATACACATTATTATAATACTTATGTTATATAGATATTTTGTCAAGGATATATTGCCACTGGAGATATGTTGACACTTTTTGAGATCAACTTTGTCATAAACGATTTGATGATCCACTGCTGAAATTCCGGAAGTTGGTTAATGATAGTTTTTTAGTCGTTGTCTTAATAATTCCTAATCACCGACAAAAATAGTATAAAAGCGTACGCTTACAGGATACTTCGTTTTTTTCGACTTTATTTTTAATATTTAAAATAATAAAATAATAACATAAAGCTGACAGGAAAATAATGATACCTGAAATTTGGACGTTTCATAATAATTCGAGAGTACCTATACCTATGTTTATCAACCGATATTCCGAAACGAACAGTTTTTTTCATTTCGCCTGATAATATTGTCAATTCCGTTAAATTAAATAATAATCGATAAGGCTTAAATATTTGCATAATACATGTTTAAGCTCTTTTAAGTTATGAATAATAACGTAGGTTGGTACGTACTTTTACAATGATTTTCAAAAATGAATTTTAAGAGATAAAAATTTGTATTTTTGATACATTGATAATCAAAAAGATTTATTAGTATTAAGAAATGTACGTAGGTACATAAATCTATAACTGTACAATATTAATATTTAAATCTTCAACGAAATTTAGTCATCAATCAGCTGATTTAACGAGCAAAAGTTGTGATACAAATTGACTGATTTATATATTATAATATAAATGCTGTATAGTCAGTTATAATTTATAATATTCAAATTAGTGTACAAGTTACGAAACTCGTTGATTTATACATATTAATTAGGTATGTTCAATCCAATTCCCATGGTATAACAATCGACACACACACACACATACACATTCTCGTGCACACGCATACAAACATGCATACATATATAATAATTTGACTGTTCGTAATTAATTTTTAATGAATTGTGTTTAACCTAATTTATAATTATAAGTTATGCGCATTTAAAGTTTTGAAGTTTAAACTCATTACAAAACTTACAATAATAAATATTTTGCTGGTATTTTATTAGCAGACAACTGTTTCATTTAAAAAATAAAATATATTGTAGAATATTTTAATTTTAATTCAAATAAATATTAAAATATTATACACTGTGTTTTGAGGGTCCATATTTAAGGCAATCTTTGCGGTGCGAACATGCGCGATAAATCAATTTTTTTCTTTTTTAAACATTTACACAAACTGTTTTTTGTTTCATCAAGTTCGAATAATGCATTTAAACACTTTCATTTATTTTATATCTTAAAAATAGTCTAAGATTTAAACAAAAACTCTCATATACAATTTTTAAAAAATATTTCTGTCGTTTTTTATGTTACTATAAAGCTATTTTAAATTGTTGCATTTATTTTTAAAGTTTTTTTTTTGATCTTAGGCAGACGTTATTTACTGGCTTCTCATACATGATGCTTAAAAATTTGTTACACAGTTTATAAAAGCTATTAAATATCAAAAATTCGGACAGTTCAATAATTTCAAATTTTTAAAAATATCGATAAAAGATGCGGAATTTTCGCCTCGACGTATTTTTTTTTGAAATTTTTTTTAAAAATCCTAATGCTTTTTCATTCAATTTCTTTTTCTTGTTTTTTTTCTTTATATATATATATATTTTTTTTTATTTGGTATTACAAATTGTCTATTTTATTTATCCAGTACCTACTTCAAATACTTCAAATAATACAAAATGTCTGCCCAGCGGAATTTTATTTGAAACATGTATTGACATTTTTAGCATTACTTCTTTTTTTTTTTTTTTTTTTTTTTTTTTTTTTTTGACTTTTGTCAATTTGGGAATTGCCATAAGAAACAATACGACTAATACTTCTTCTATCGGAATCATATTTTCATTAGGATTACAGATTTATCATTGCAAATATTATATACAAGCTAAATTACCCTCGTATATCCATTCTTCCAAATAACTCACCTATACAACAACTTTATAATTGCTTACCTGAGAGTGGCACCAAGTTTTTATTGTACAACGATCCAGTAAAGTATAAAGTTCGCCCAGAAAAAAAAAGAGACATAAAAGTTAGAATTTCTACTTGTATATCGATAGTATTTTATTAAAAGTGCGTATATCACTGAAAATCGAAAATACGTTTTTATGTAGAAAAAAAATCAGTAAAATTAGGAACATAAACTGGTTTAAGGGAATATTCAAATACGGAAAATTAAATTGGTAATGTCGGCAAAAAGATATTTAAGCGCCCTTTTAAAATATAATATAATTAACATTGATTTGTTAAAACGGCATGTACCATATTCTACACATGTTTTGTGTATAAAGTTGATTACAATGAGTAATTTTATCGTTTTCCGTGATAAACATCATTGAAAAATTTTTTGCTGTTTTTTTTTTTTGTTTTCAAAACAGTTATTTTTGCTTCCTGAAAAACGTGAAATTCGGTAGACGCCCTTTAAACAAAACACCGTCGATATAATATGCCTACTATTAAACGTATCGAATCTCCGTGGCGTAGGTAGGTATCTACTTTAAACAATGCGAGTCGGTAGCCCAAACTAATGTCATTCGGCACTCGGCAGATTTATCGTCGGACAGAGATCTGGCTGTGACGTATACGGGCACGTGATTTTTGCCACTACGCATCGTATACAATCACTTGCGCTCAATTTAATTTTCGCTAAAACGTGACGACGAAGACGACGACAGTCTTCCTGCGTACCGTTAATTGTATTAAGCATTCGATATCGTACCGCCGTTTTACGTCGATTACGAATTCTCGTTTGGTACGTATGTAACGTATATCACGAGCTTTATCAAATTTCACGTTACAGTGAAATTTTCCTTAAAATGCTTATTTTTTCAACGAATTTATGTAAACATTTTGTGCAATCATAATACCATCTAATTACATTGTTTTTATTATTGTCACCTTTCGGCTAGCTACTCTTTTTTGATTTTCAAATAGTAACCTACCACATTAAAAAATTCCATTAATAGACGGATTATCGGTTTAATTAAATTCCAAATTTGAAATATGTGATTTCTGTCAACCCGTTATGAGATATTCCATTTTTAGGTTTGGGTATCGGAATAGTAGCAGTAAAGTATAATTGCGCTGCAAAACATGCGGTGTTTGAATAATGCTCTACTACTCTCCTCTTTTTTTGTATGTGAACACTTTTTTACCAGAAAGCTTACTCCAATTATCATGTATAGCCCCTTTTCTGAAAGAAAATATTTTCTGAGTGGTACTTTAAACAGTTCATTGTTTGAAATTCTCATTAATATTCAAGATTGAAAAAGAAAGAAAAAGATTGAAAGATTAAAAATATTAAATGATAAAAGGTTATCATTGGCAACTGTTTTTATTTTTTTTTTTGTTATTATTAAGTTTTTTTTATTTTATTAGTTTTTAAACAATAATTTTTGTCATGGAAACACACATTGTTGTAATCAATTTACAATAATATGACATATATTTTTGACAAAGCAACACTAAAACTGAACTCTGCTTAGAATTGTTTATTCGTCGTTAGCAATGGTTTATCATTGCTTACTGTTATACATTAAATTACCGTCAATATACTACCTTTCCTACTTCCCACCTACAACGATGACTGCACCCACGTTCGAAGTATGTCCGTCTTTTTTTTTTCACTATTTTTAAATTCAAAAGGAGATAGTCATTTTACTCCAGAAAATAGAGGTGATGATATAATGTCAATGTAAATTTGTGTAGCATGATTCAAAAAAGTTTTTACACAATTTTTTTTAAAAAAATAAGTATTTATTTGGCAATTTGATTGTAACATGACATTCGATAAACCTACTATTATATTAAACACCGTACATTTTTATCGTGTATATATTTTAATATAAATCTACCATTTTTATGGTCTAATAGAACATATAGTAGCTTAATTAGCTCTATCGTAATTTTACGAAATTGGTACCAATACGACTGAATAGAACAGCCAAAAAAAATTATTGTGTTTTATAGGAAAAAAACTAAAAACCAAGCCATTTTCTAAACATTTATAATAAATGGTATAGTTTTCTCGACTTGGAATGAATAGGTTAATTTTAGACAAAAGTATAAAACTTCCTCAAAAAAATATCCTCAAACTTTAAAGATCCCATTTTTAGATGTATTAAAACAAATTTACGACTGGCACTCTTTCGAATTAAATAAATAAAAAAAAAATCGCTTCTTATATAAAATAACGGAATCCTTAGGCACAGGCTATAATTTGGTAGGTTTTTTACTCCGTACACGCGCGAGTAAATTTGAATTCGATATCCCGCCTAATTGCGTGCAAATCCACAAACAGAACGGCAGAAAATAAATAGAATATTTCAACATGGCCACGTCTGTTTGTTGCTTTTGGCTTTTGGCACACTATCGTGTGAGTATATAGCGTACCTAGCTATGATACTACACGCCGTTCTTACGCTCCACTGATTTCGCGACGTGACCGTCAACATTCGGGATACGAGACTCGCGCCATCAGACCGAACTCGACAATATATTATTTTTAAGTCGACGAATTAAACTTGATTGAATAAAATATATAGGTACCTATACCCTCAAACTCAATGGTCTGCACATAAACTGATTATTTTTTTTTCCCTATTTGCATTCGAACATATCAGTTGAATAATTTATACGCCCATCACGTCCAACAACACGAATACATATCCAAACATCAGCTGCGTATATCGCAATGCGGACTTTACTATTTCGGAGGTCGCGTACACGGTCTTATAAAAAATAATATTAAAAATCTCGACATCAAAACGGTTAAATAATTAATTTACCTGAGAATGAGCAAAATAATAAACAATATATTAACTCATTTAAGTTGATTAAAAAAAAGTTATTGAGTTTACACGTTAAAAAAAAATAACCAATCGATTTATTATTAATTGTTTAACTAACAGTCAAGTTTAAAGGTTATTTGTAAATGTAATTAATATATAAGAAATATTTTTTTTGTTTTTATTTTTATTTTTTTAATTCGTTGTTTTAGTAGTAAAAATGCTTGAATTTAGATAGTTTGAAATCTTTTAAAAATAATGAAAATCGAATTTATCATAATTATAAAATGTAGGTTTTCCAAATTGTCTCCGGTTTTATAAAACGTCAACATTATTTTTAATATTTTAATGTCCATATTAAATTTAACACTTTTCCACTATAGTTTACCACTCATATACCATTTAAGTGATCAAGGTACGGCCGTTTTCACGAACAAAAAATATTTCACAGTGACAAGGATAACTCACGGTGAGCATAATATTGTTCTACCATTGTTTTAGATTTAAATTGATATACAAGGTGTCCTATAATAATGGTATACGTTTACATCCAATCATTAGTTTCTTATTTATATTTCTAGAAAATTGGCGTGAAAACAATTTCAAACAGAATAAGACGTGTTAAACAATAAGGTATCATATTCAGTACAGTAATTCTTTATTTTCTATTGAATATTAATTATTTTCGCTCATATTTTATATACTCTAAAGTGACTACAATTAAAAAAACTAATAATCAGACAAGAAAATATGATGGGTATATTACAATTGTTTAGAATAATATATTTTACAAAATGACTATTTTGAAAATTTAAAAAATAAGAACTTATTGGGATGAAAATAAAAAATAATATGCGACCCCTTTACACAAAACCTGATTTAAAAAAAAAAAATTATATTTGGGATAAAAATAATGATAGGGTTCAATACAGTCTCTTATGGAAGTATACTTCTTTCCAAAATACAGAAAAAAAAAAATATCGAAATTAGACCGGTACGAGTGTTATCCTCGTAAGAGCGTAAGACATGTGTTTGAACAAAAAAAATAAGTAAGCATTCGGCCATTTTAATACGTCGTGGTTTAGTCCAAGAATATCAAATTAAATTTGTTGTACCTCGAAATTCCATACACAATATTAGGTAAAAAAAATTAGTTTTTCTTCTACGATGGTAATTACTCAAATAGTATGGTTATGGATTAGAAATCTAAAGTAGTATTTTTAAAAACTGACTCATTTTTTACTGAGTAATAAGGTAAGATCAACTTTCAATTTACATTTTTAACTTGTCAAGTTTTGAATTTACTTAATAATACCCTTATAATACTTACCCAATAATAACTATTTTATATTAGTTTCTGCGGAAATTTTTTTTTTACTAAGATATTACTTTTACTAAGATTTTTACTAAGATAAGTGATTTTAATATTTCTGGAATAACACTTTTTAAGTTAATAAAATTGTTCAGATTTTTTCACAATACACAGTATTTTAATTTATAGTTCTACAAGCTCATTATTATTTTCGGCAGAAATTAACTAGGGATTCATTTTGTTTTTCCTGAGTTAGACAGGTTCGTATACAGAGCTCTCCTTCTATTTATACGGACCTGTCTAAAAGACTGTGTAACGATTGGAACCCCTTCCGTCCAACTCATACTCCTTTGGAAGGATATCTAAACCCCTGCCGCCATCAATAAAAAAAAATTAATAAATAAACAAATATTTTGAATACTTTTCTGAAAAAAATAAAATAAAACTAAACTTCCGCACTTCCACGTACCTACAAAATAATATCATTGTATTTATTTGAGCATATGTCACAAAAATAACAAATAAATTACACTGAAATAAATGTAGGTATATATATTTTTGCTCTATCAATTTAAAAAAAAAAAAACACATACAAAAACCTTTATTTGTGCACGAAACCTTACATTTGTACCTATACAAATAATGATCATACAAAATATGATAAAACGTACGTACCCCAAAGGACCAGTAGCCAAGATGATAAAAAAAAATGATTAAATTCAAACTCAAAGAAATGTAATCATTTATATTAGACAACTATTCAGCTCAAATTTTCTAAAAGTTTTTATAATTCTAAGAAGTTAATACTCTATGTATACTTAACTTAATACTAGTACTAAATACAGTATTATATCGTCATTCGATACACACCTTCGTCATTAGCTCAGTCGTTGCTCTCTTATCTCTACTGTATATTCTGTCGTGTTGTTATTTCCGTAGTGGACGTTGACTGTTTCTAACTTTGAAAATTGTACGTGATTGATAGCCTTAATATAACCGTTGTTTGTAGTCTAAAGTTTATTTTTCGTTTATTGCATACCGTATATTCTAATCGTTTTTTTTTTTTTAATATTTAATATTTTCGTTAGTATACTAATATCTAGATCAGTATCTGGCTTGAATGAAAATTCCTTTGAATTTGTCTAAATGATGTTGTGAGCTGCTTTAAAAGCTTGCATACCGAAATCCAGTGAATTTAAACAAAAGTGTTAACTCAAGAAAAAACTTTATACAAAATTATGGAAATAACTGAATCTGTTTCATCGAATATTCTAGTTGTGGAAATGGAAAATTCTGAGCTTAGAAAATAAATCGAATATCTCTGCTCTAATATCGTGTAGTAAATTCAAATTTATTTTCTTTTATTTTCATTATATCCCCGTATCTATTAACCTTGTAAGGGAAATTAAAGAAAAATATTCAAAATATTATTAAATAAATTGTTATTAAATTCATAAACTTTTATAACTTCCTTTTTCTTCAGTGACTCGCTTGGTAAACAAATTAATAAACCCCGAATTATTCGTTTTGGACTTGAGTCATCTGATGCGTTCTTTCTATACTCAAATCTAAAAAAACGGCTTTATGTGTTTCCCGAATGGAACACTTTTCGGATAACCACGGATATTACTATTTACTAAATGGAAATCTTATCAACTTTAAGAATGATCGTGCTTAATGAAATTTACTTTCGGATGGGAAAACATGATTTTTAAAATTTTTCTAAGTTTTTTTTAACACTGGCACAAAAAAAAAAAAAAAAAAAAAAGGATCAAACTAAACAGCGGCTCAAGTCAATGTTCATCAGTTTATGTAAGACTCATGTTTATTCCGGGTTTTACATAAATGTCCGTGGTTTAAAATCAAAAAAAAAATATCAAAGGTTCAATTAAATATTCCCGATCTGAATCATATTAATATTTTATTCTTTCTGTGACTGGGTTATCTTCTAATATTTATGAATCTGAATTAGGTGCAATAGACTATAATATATATATAGATTTTAGTTCTAATATAATAGTGTTCATTGTAAGGGCGGTGGTGTCTTAATTTCAAGCCCGAAATAATAATATTTCTCGCGATCTATTCCTCCTACTAATTTGAGCTGTGAATATTTATCAGTAATAAAAAACTTTTGTCGTACTGCCCTTGACTTTTTTATTAGACGATAAAAGCTAAAATTAATTATTTTAAACTCATAATTCATGAACCAATAAACGATTAGTTTAAAATAGTTACCTATACAAATAAGATACATAATACGTCAAGACGAGGACACAGCAGATAGGTATTTTTTTAATTTTTTTTTTTTATTATTACATTCAATTATGTATCTAGATAGGTAATCATATTGTTATATAAATCCATCGGTATAATTATTTTAATTCTTTGAATGTTATAAAACAATAGAGTTTTTTTTTGTTTTGTTTTTTGTACGAACCACCTAACTGCGATAACCTTATTTTAATAACGTTTGAAGTTTGTCAGATTTTAAATTCGCATTTGATATAAATCAGTTCGCGTCGGCGGTACTATTGAATGTGGATTTAAAATTTTGAATCCGTATAATTCCGTTAAACCCAGATCGTCCGTATTTAAAACATTAATTTTGTTTTAACCTCATCGACTGTCTGCCGCTGGCTCTATGTGACATACAATAATAGTGATTATAATAATATTATAAAAAACTCACGTATGTTTTCATATGATTAAAATTATTATTATTATTTAAAAACTATCTATATTGTTCCAAAATAATTATAATACATTTTTTTTGTTCAATTTATTTGTGCGATGACGTGATAATATGTACCTACTTATTATATTATTCACAATAAATAAATTTACAAAATATTAAGCTCAAAGTAGCTATGCGTGTATCTTTGGATCATTGACTTTTTGGATTTATTTACGAATATTTAAAACGAGGTTGCATTTACAATGTAAATAAGGGGTAGTGTATGAGTATTGTGCAATTTTTGAGAGAAAAAAAAATTAAAGGTTTATACAGAAAATTATGTTGTGAAATATTTGTGAGTTATCAAGGTTATACCGTGACTAAAAGGATTTTGAAATCGTTTTGAAGAATTAAATTAGTTTCTATATTTATGATTTCTATTAACTATACATCTGTTAAAAGTAATAAAATAAGATAAAGATAAAATACTTGGGTTTCATCTAGATAAACTATTGTACATTATAATATCGTTACCCTGATTATCTGTAAGATGATTTTATTACCCACGTTATCCAGTTAATGGTGATGGTTACTCGTTAACAATTTGAACTTTTTGGATTATCTGTACAATATTTAAAAACATAATTATCCTGTACCGGTCAAAAAAAGCGTTATTTATCAAAATAATAATAAAACAAAATAATTACACAATCCAACTTTTCCAAAAAAAAAAAAAAAAAATAAAATAAAAATCAAATACAATATCAATGCATTTGAATTTGCCGTTAAATGATATACCATCAAACATTTTTAATTATATTATATCATTTTTTTTTTTTCACGTCTGTGTAACCATTTTCTGGTGAAATTATTAAGAACCAATCTTCTCGTGGATTACCCACGTCAAAGAGATTTAAACGGAATATTATTTCTTTAGCGTAGATAAAAATATGATAAATATCTCGCAGTTATATTACCTCAAGAAAATCAGAAAAACTCTTCAATAATAATAATAATAATAATACCTACCTACACAAAACTTAATTCGAAACTTTGAGCTACCATTATTTTATTTCGAACATTGGAAATTTCTTCGGATATAATAATATTCCATATAAGCTTACATCATTTACTCGATAGTATGGAATATACTTTTAAATATTTAAAGTCAGTTTAGCTCACAAAAAAGTTATAAGCTTTTGGAATATTGTTTAAGTTTTGTATGCTTTTTAAATTTTAGAAGTTTATGTCCGATTATGAGAATCCTGCAGTGAACTTTTTGACCGTTTTCGTTATAATATTATACTCGGGAAAAATAAAATTACCGAAATTGTCTGGTTTGGTAATCCTCCGTTTAGAATCGTATTTTCTAAAATTTAATTAGCATAACAATTTCCGTGACTTAACCCATGTCAGTGTCATACACTAACACGTCTTGTCATCTTCCGATTTTATTATCTATTGTTATGCCGTTGCCTTTTCGCACACTGAACTTTCGAAATATAAGACACGATGCCGGCAATATAATATAAGCTCCGTAATTTGTTCGGCCGACATTGAACGCACGACGTCATTGTATTTTTAGTTGAAATCTAGGGAACACAATATAAATTATATTATAATATACGAGTACCGGCCGTGTCTGCTGTACTAACAGATTTGATTAAAAATACATGTATCGCCGTGTAAAGAAGTAATTGCACATAACTTGTAACTTTCTGTTTTACATGTAATTTAAGTATAAACACGCTAGAAAAACGAATACAATAGCCAACAAATCGAGATTTAGGTAAACCAAATTTGAAACGTGCAAATTTCGTTCATACTCCATACCCCTAATACTCTTCCGAAGAAGTTAATATACTAAGTACAAACCTAAAGCTAATACCTAAAAACTTTAGTGGTTTAAAAATTACGTCGGATGCAAATAAACGTAGGAGTAAAAGGAAATTAAGTCACATTTCGAAGTAGACAATCTTGTATAATTTTCCAGAGTCGGCAATTATGTTATGTTTGCTACCATCCGGGGCGAATGATATTTGCCCCGTAATATAGCAACAAATACATTCCACACCTCAACGATTGTGATTGACCTTTAGTTCAAAGGGGCTAATATAAATACTTTATGAAGAAGAGTTCCTATATAATATGCCTCGGTTGAATGACTTTTTTTTATATTTTTTGTTTTCTTAGTAAGCTATTACAATGATCAAAATTAAAATCGAATTAATATATCGTACTTATAATAAATAAGAAAAAAAAATACACACATAAAGTTGTATACGAAAACATAGTCAACTATTAAAATAATTATATAATATACAAGCTGATCCGGAAATACTTTGCTATTGTTAGACAACATTATAAATAATAATAACAATAATAGTTATAATAATTTTCTTGTCAGTGACAGCCAAATTATCATCCGTATCACCAAAGTAACCCTTGATTACACAAAAATAAATAAATAAACATTTAGATGATCGTACTAAAATATCTAAAAACCCCTATTTTACCCTTGTATGGATTGAATTTTCAAGAATATTTTCTTTGCGGATGTCTACGTCATAATAGCTATCTGACAAATTTTAAAATGCCTCATATAAGCTTGAGTAGCTATATTTTCAAATTAACTTTATATGTTAGACATTTTTGATATTACTTGACTTAACCTACGCTTAATGATACGAATTTTTAACTGAACTCGAAACTCAAAATGTGAAGGACACTTATTTCAAAAATATATTTGTTAATTAAAATTTTAAAAAACACTCTTTTTTTATCATTGCTTTACGATATTGCGACGATTGGAATATTAAAAATTGTTTAATGATAATCTATTAGGTATTACTTTTAATAGTGTTTTTTGAAGTAACTAAACTGCAAATTATGCATTTTTAATATTTTTTAACATTTTTTTTAAGTTCACTTTACTTTTATTATACAATTTGTACTCTAACGTTAAATATAAATGTACATGTAAAGCATTTGAATGTTTACCAATACGCAGTTAGTCAGAAACTGCTCGTTAATGTTATTTAGCTTTATAATATTCATTAACACTTCCTGGTAAATAATTTAATATTTACCATTAGATCCGTTTGATGATGTATCACAATGAGCATAATAAAACCTCTACTATAAATATTTTTCATACTGAAATCAGTATGACGTACAACAATTATAGTAACAATGAAGTGGTAAATGACGAATTTTATATTAGTGTATTTCATTATTTGGAGAACCATTTAACCAGAGCATTAAGAAAGTACGCGTGTACTCATTTTCACTAGTATTTTTTTTTTATTTTCTATATTATACCATATTTGTATAGTGTTTTTAGATAGCCTACTAGATATTAGTAATAAGAAAACTTAATTTTCGTGGTAAAAAAAACGGGAAAATAATCATTATACCCGGGAAAATTTCGCTGCCGGAAACTACCCCTGAAATAGACGTTTGGAGCAAGATAATAAATGGTAGGCAAGTTGTTTACAGACAGAATAAAAAATAATCTAAGAAAATACGATTCTAAACAAAGTTCGGTTCAACATGTTTTGAAATACCATCAATTTTAATAAGTACCTTTGAAATTTGAACTTTTAATTTAATATCTGAACTGTGTTTTTAGTATTCATTAACTTGCCAGCCATATCGATATTTATTGACTCAAATTTGGATTCACAATAGTATACTTTTAATTTTTGTTTTTGTATTTTCGTAACATATTTTCTGCTAGAAAAACTGCTCCGATTTTCATGTGTTACACATTTGAAAGTAAATCGAGTCTTAGTGATACGTAAGAAATTAGTTTATTTACTCTATAGTTTCCATCATAGTTGGAAAAAACTTAGAAAATTGCGTAGAAAAAACTGAAAAGTGTATGACATTAACGAATTCGTTCTTTTTAACTATCAAAGTATTCCGGCAATTTTTGAACTATTTTTAATTACGTATTTGACATTT